GTCTTGTACCCCTTTGCCACATCAGCGTATAGTTAAGTAGGTCAGCGTATGGCAGCGTACGTTCTGCGTAGTCAGTACACAACACAGCGCATGGCCCAGTGTGAAAGGGGCTTATGCCTTGGTCACAAATACCCTTACGGGCTGCTACGAACGCCGTACGAACGATTTTCAGATCATTTCGTAAGATCTTCTTAAGGCGGCCGTACGAAACAAGCGCTCGTAGACCGTTCGTAGACCGTTCGTAAGAACGCAGAATGGTCGATGGTCTTGTCCAAGATTTTTTTTAACATCGTACGAAACCCTCTCTTCGTAAGGCGGCAGTACGAACGCCGTAATTACATCGTAAGAACCACGCAAGATCTTCGTACATTTCGTAGGGTCGAGGGACAATTTTAGAAGCTTCAAATTATTACGATGACCGTAAGAACGCCTTAAGTTGTTCATAGAGGGCTCTTACGGCTTTCGTAAGAACGCCTTACGAGCGGAGATTCTTGTGGTCTTCATACGAATGACTCCTGGTGTTCGTAAGAAGTTCGTAAGGTGCTCGTGAGGTGTACGTACACAATTTATGCAAATTTTGAGTTTTAACGGTTATAAAGCCTAACTCTGTTCATAGTGTTCGTCGAGGGTGCATCTCCTGTCGAAGAAATATGGGACCAAAGGGGAAATCTGTTAGAGGAAAGAGATGAGGAGGAAAGAGAAAGAGGAGGAGAGCGGCAACAGCAATATCAAGCAGAGGCGCCGGAAGTGGGGGCATTCACCCCCCTCCCAACCCTATAAAAAAGCAGTAAAGGAGTATAGATGGTTTGTATTTTTTAACCAAACTTAATTTAATTAAATTAAATTAAATTATATTCCATTCAAAGAAAAGGAAAGTTAATAGGGATTAAATTTCGTATACATTCCGCTTGCTCCTACATTTTATCAATGGATGTTTTTATAATATATGCGATTTGCGCATATCGTGGAAATATTGTAAGAGGATGGGAAAGTGTTTTTTTTAAAAAATATTATAGTGGTGAGAAGACATGAGCCCCTGAACACTGGCGTACTAATGGGCGGGGGTATTTCTAATTCGTTACCAGTGATTTACAAATGTTGCTGAAATGACATGATTTTCCGGTATTTTTCTCAGTATTTTGGTAAATCGTATTTTTTTATGCGTTTGTTTGGAAATTACTAATTCCCAAATTAACAGCTGGGCATAAAAATATGCTTATTTAGAAGCCTTCATGTTAGGGCCTGCAGAACGGCGGGGCTCGGGGCTCGGGGCTCGAGCCCCCCTCACTTTTTAAAAAAAGAGGAAAGGAAAGAAAGAGAAAGAACAAAATGTGTGACCTACCAATGTCACAAATGAGATATCAAAATATGCTCATCTGACCGTAATTAGATGCCGAAAACCTTTGAGCTTTCAGGGGCTCTGCCCCCTGGACCCCACCAAGGGCCCTATGGTGGACCCCCTGGATGCTCATCTGACCGTAATTGAATACCTATAACCCCTGAGCATTCGTGGGCTCTGCTCCGTGGAATCCCCGACAATTAGTGACCTGCCAGTGACACAAATCGTCGCTGTTTTCACGAAGTGACGGTAGTGAAAAAAAACTGCATTCACTTTGCGTTACGATTTTCCTCACTACCGTCACTTCGTGAAAACAAGGACGAAATAAGGTATCTAAATATGCTTATCTGACCGCAGTTTAATGCCTAAAAACCATGACCTTCCGGGGGCTTAGTCCCTTGACCCCCGCCGGTGCAAAGCCCCCGGACCCCACGCCAATTTACGCTACGCTCGCTACACTCTAACCTGATCGTTAATACTCCACTTTGAAAAATGTTCCATGGGGCCTGCATGTAACATGTAAGCCTAGGAGTGGTGGTGATGCAAATTTTCCTTCTGCCCCCCCCCCCTCCTCCAAACGATTTTGCTCATTACGCCACTGTCCCTGGAAGGTGAGCCCCCTGGATTTTTTTGCCACCCAATCCCAAACTGATTTCTGCGCGCCTGATATCAAGAAATGATGGCCATATCGGAAGCGACCGGGAGGAGGCGGTGGAAGATGACGACGACGACGAGGAGGGAGAACCATCAAGACGGCAGTTTGACGGCGATGAAGACGGGGAAACTGAGAAAGGAGAAGTAGTCCTATGACTTTGATGCCACCACAGAGCAAAAACTTGTTGACTTCTTCGGTTAACATGACTGCTTTTATAATAAAGGAAGTAACAGATATTCTAACAGCAAGTTTAAGAAACACTTTACGGAGTTGCAGTTGCAGTTGTAGTCTTCTTGGCAATACTGTCATCGTGTAATATCGAACTTTCAACAGTCATAGAATTTTCGACAGTATACGGCAGCGCTTTTTTTGCAACCCGACCAAATAGGAAACAAATTCTTAAGCTCTTCTTACGAATGACTTGTGAATGCCGTGAGTTAAACGTACGACCACCTTACGAGAACAAAAACTCGTAAGATTGGCGTACGTCTGACGTAAGAAGAACACAAGGCGTTCTTACGAAAACGTACGAACTCTGGGGCTATTGTATAATCGAAAATCACTTCGTTTCTCAAGAAGGTCTTGAGTTGTTCTTGCGAATTAAACGGCGTTCGAAAGAACTCCGTAAGAAGGACGTAAGAATATGTGCCCCATCTGCGAATCTCTACGAACTCTGAAATTCGTAGGAACAGGGAGATTCGTACGAACGAATCGTTCGTACGAACATTTGTGACCGTAGCAAAATAGGCATACATTTGTGTATTAGATTTCTCATTACTGTTCTCAGAATGCTATCATATATGTTTCCTACTTCCTCATCCAGCTGTTTGTTGATAAAGTATTCTTCTCAAAAGTTCAAGAATCTTTTAATGGATGTGTGTGAAATAAATTAAAGGGGAAGAAAACGAGAGAAACATATTAGTGAAAGTTTGAGCAATAAACAATCGAAAAATAGGAAAGACTCATTTTTGAAGTTTTCATCAATGAAACACAAATTGGCAACACTGTGACGTATCTTGTGATGTCCTCTCATATATGCTGTGTACAGACAATGTAATAAACTTCTATTTTCTTAGTTATTGATGAAGGAATATCATTATTTCATACAGGGGTTGTATAAAAACATATTTGCAATGATTATATTTAGGGTGCATGTATGACTGGAAGTTTTCTTTACGGAAAAAAGGAGAAATTTTTATGTTTTTGTTTTGTTTTAGTACAGAGCGAATGGGAGGGGCCTAGCAGGTTATGACAAAGAGTTACCAATTAATTTTTTGTGTTTGATTGACCGCAACTTCGGAGATTCGAAATTTTCACTGACCTATTCCTCTAATTTTTCTGCTTTTTAGGATAGTAACATTTTACTATCCTAAAACCTGCAATTTGACACTTTTCCGACTACTTCCGGCTCACGAAAATAGAAAGTGAATTTGTTCTTGTACAGTTCTTTTTGTTATATGTCGGATTAGTGCCCACAGATTCCCAGTCGAGTAATTTTGATTAATATTTCAGGAAATGTTGCTCCATTTCCTTTCGCTTGCCTCCTGTAAAGGTAAGCACTGTGTACTGCTCGTATTATCAGACGAATGGTAGCGAAAAGTAATTATCATTACAAAAGCATATTTCCCTTTGAAAGTGGCCCGTTAGTTTGCAGCTAGGCAGAAATCTTTTTTCTACGTATCTGCAAGGAAGATCCAGTTAAGCACATGCCTAACATATTTTCTCCCGGCGGCTTCGAGGATGGTACAAAGGAAATGAGCTAGACAAGGTTAATCATCATGACGCAGAATACCAAATGACAAATTGAATGGCATGACTTTTATTGTTATTTGATCTGATTTTTTTTTTATCGAGTAAGCTCCTTCGTTGAATAAAATAACATACTTTCTGGAGAACTGAAATTCATTCGAAATTACAATTTCTTTGAATTCAAATACAAATACATATCACAAAAACTACTTTAACATGATCATAACTTAATAATAATTAACGATAATGATATATGTATATACAATGAAAGAAATGTTACAAATGAAAACCACTTTGGCGACTCTCTATGAAAAAAAGTACATAATCGTAAGAAATGAAATGAGAGATTAACATAACGTATCTCTATCAAAGTTCCCCATTGAAAATTATCTCCCTTTTTTCAAATCACACCGATAAGACCGACCAAAAATATACCATTACCTTATGGCAAAAAATATGGTTATGGTTTGGGGTAGGTCTGGAGTCGGTTTCGCGGTGTGAATGAGGTATCAAGAGTAATGGTGCGTCGCTCTATCAAAGTTTCCCATTGCTGTCTTCCCTTTTTTAACTTTTGAAAGGGTTGAAAATAAATACTACGGTTTCATTTCCACATTTGTCCCAGCAAAGATAAATGGGTATCGGTGTTGGAATAAAGTCTTGGAATGCCCGAATGCCGAATCATGGTAGCGAGACTAAGCTTAAAGCGATTGTACTTGTATGTTGCACAATTAATTCATCACTAAATTTTACATATGTACCGGTATTAAAATAACAATATAGCACACACTGTACTCGGTTATGTTAATGAAATAATATTCACTTCTCAGTGTCTATATATCATTTCATTTCAATGTTGCTTATGGGTATCCAGAAGAGCCTCGATGTTTATTATTATATACATCAAAAGTATTTACATTGAAAACGATAGCAACTTCTTTAGAAAAATCAACCGAACACAATTTCAATGTCATTGTGCGTCACCAATTGATATCTCCGAACATGACAATGACGTATTACGTAATCCGAACATGATTCCTATTGGACATACAATAAGGTACTGATATTGCACTTGAGTTGATTTTTCGAAAATAGTTGAGATCGTGTTATTTCAACATAATTATATGCGTTAAACAGTGATGGACAGCAAACAGTTACTTTATACACATTTCATAAAAATACAAAGTAATATTAGTTGCTAATTACAGTGGCTTATAGCGTGAGGGATGCTACTTGCATGGGGGGGGGGGGAGGGGGCATCGGTCATCGATCTTATGATATGGATGAACTAGATGTTAATAACACCATTGAATAGGCGGAGGGTAGGCCTATGGGGGCGTCACATCTTCTTCTTTTCATGTTCCTTTTACCTTCTCCCTTTCTTTTTCGCTATATGTTCAAATATATTAGATAGGCCCTTCGATTGAATGATTTTGGAAAAAGAAAGTTTAGCAAAAGGGATAGACTGTCCATTTGCAACGTGCTAATAAAAGAGATATATGGAAACTGGAATGAACATTTAGTAAAACCTTGAAGGTACTCTATTTATAGAACCTTTAGGAAATGCTCTATGTGGGCGTGCTTCCACCTTCCCTCCCCCAACCCTCCCCGTAGCCGCTAGTTCTATGTATAATGAGAAGAGCATGAAGCCGTTGGTCAGAACCACAAAAATAAAACCCCTTTTCGATGAAATAAATGCAGTTAATTCAGAGTGACAGTAAACGTCAAATATCATTTTCGATAAAACATTGTTGTTACCAAGTCTTGTTTCCGTCACTTTTAGTCTACCCTTTCAACATGTATTTAAAAATTAAAAAAAGAGTACAGATAAGATATGTGATGGTTGAAATACCAAATTATCGAGAAAGAGGGTCACATCGAAACAAGCAGAACATAATTCTCAATCTTTCAAATGAGAAGTGTTGTTGCTGACTACTGACATCTATCAATTAGGAGGTATCAGGTGATTACACCTGAGATTGACCGTGAGATCCCGGATCAACTCCTCCCAAAAGTAGTCTCGTCCTCTTTCATCGTCTGGCCAAACCAGATGCGATCGATGATCACTGAGAAACAATCTTATTAGGAAAGGGAGCTCGTCATCCTCAACGTCCTCCACAAACACGAGAATCATTTTCTCTGTACCGATGTCATTGACGTGATTGAGAACGGTTCGGAACTTCATCATGAACCACTGGTCTTGTAAGGCAGCATGACTGATCACGATAATAGTCTTGAAGCTTTTTTCTGTGGCGTAGTGGATGGCGTCGAGGTAGTACATACCAGGCATTAGCTCTTCATCACCACAAACGATTCGATTGAAGCCTGGAACTCGCTCCAACAGGGCTGGTCGCAAGTGATGGTTGACCCACATACTGTCGGCTTCGTGGAGCATGATGGCGATATCGTACTGGAATTCTCCTCTGTCGGCATCGTCGTGTATTTTTTCGTATCCAATGAAGCAAAGCTTTAGAAGGAACAGCCGATATCTGATCCACCATCGCTGGTAGTAGATCAAACCTAGAGCAAAGATCAGTACCATACCTAATGTGGCCAAACAAGAGTAGAGGATGATGTTCGGACCACATCCGTCTTTAGGATCGAAAGTGATTAATTGTTTGCCCCTAAAAGGCTCCAAAGTCGCTGCATTATCGAGGCATGTCGTATCCATCGACTCAATGAGCTCTACCGTCCCTTCCAACCAACCAGGTAACCATTTAAGATCACAATTACAGACTAGGGGATTGAGAGAAAGGTCAAGTGTCGTTAGGCGCTCTAGGGGTTCAAACGTGCTACGGTTCAAGCCAGATATACGATTTTGCGCAGCATCGAGATACACCAGACTTGATAAGTACTTGAACAAATTAGAATCAAGATATGTCAAATCATTTCCTAACAAAAATAGATATTGCAAATCATATAATTTATCGAACAACCCAGTGGAAACAACCTTTAGATGGTTGTATTCCAAACTCAATAAGACAAGGCTTTTCAGTTCTCTGAATGTACCTATTTCTAATACTTCAAGCGAGCATTTATCCAAACGTAAAATTTGTAGATTCGACAAATTCTGGAAGATGCCCAATGGGATGGAAGACAATAGATTACTTGAAAGTTCAAGTCGCGATAGGTTTTGCAAACCAAAGAAAGAAGATTTGTTGTCGGATGAATCCCATAGCTTTTCAGGCCCAAGCACATTGTTGATTAGATTTAGTGTTGTTAAAGAGGGCGTTTCATCGCCAAGGTTACCGGGTCGGATCAAACTTGTAGGGCAATATGAAGACTCTAAGATTAAGGTATCGAGGAAAGGAAGGTGGTGAACAGGTAGCTCAAAAATATGTGTGTTGGATAGATCTAACTCACTCAAAAATCGAAAATTGGCAAACGTGTCATTTTTAATTACTTGAAGTTTGAAATTGTCACTCAAGTCTAATGTCTTGAGAGTTTTCAGACCATGGAATGCCGAGCCGTTGATTGCTGTTAGTTCATTGCGTGCCAAGTTTAGATGTATGAGTGAGATATTCCACGGGGTAGATTTACTATTGAGAGATAGGATTCTGTTGTTATCCAATGAAAGAGAACGAAGAGCCATCATTCCGTTAAAGATACTTGGTTCCATCTCTTCTAGATTGTTCCATCCTAGCTGAAGCTGAGAAACGCCTGCTAAACCATCAAAACCATTGTCTTCAATCATAGCAATGCTATTCATTTTAATGTCAACTTTGTCTAGACTTTTTCCTTTGACAGGTGCAAAGAACCCATTTTGGATGGTGTGGAGTTTGGCGCCTGTAAAATCAAATCCTTTAATGAACATTGATAATTTGATGCCATGAAAGAAATTCGATATTTGAGAAACTGCTATGCGCGTATTCATCAATTTAATTTGCTTGACATGAAACGAAGAGATAACGATGGTTTCTATGAATTCTATTGGATTTTCAGACAAATCTAACATATCAACATGGTTGTTAAAAATAAACGACTCTTTTGAAATTTGCCGAAATCTGTTTGAATCAAGATAAACAACGCTAAGAAGATTTGAACTGGTCCAGTTTATCTTTCGCAGCTTATTTTTGGAAAGACTCAAGACTGTCCCTTGGGCTAAGCATGCAGCAATGTCACCTGCAAATGTCTTCAAATTAGAATATGCTGCATTAAAATCCGCCAAGCTCTGAGAACGAAACATTGACTTCTTAAGAGTAGGTAAATAGAGGTTATATCCAATCGACAGGCGAACCAGGTTCTTTAAGGGGTTGAATGCACCTTCCTCAATGCGAGATATGTTATTACCACCCAGTGTGAGCACCCGAAGGCTGGGATATCTCGCAAATGTCTCATTTTTAAGCGTGGTTAGAAGGTTGTTGTGTAGGTAGAGTTCTATGAGATCGGGTAAGAGATCTGTAGGAACAGACCTGAAGCCCTTATTAGAACAAAAGGCAGTCTTGAGACTGAAGTCTTGATGACATGATGCTGCCTCGATGGTCTCCCTTCGGTGAATAGATGTAAGAGTAATTATGACGATTAAGATGGAGTAAAGGCCTGACATCCTCGTCATGTTGACGATTCATGTAACACCTGACAAGTATTTTCCGTGATTGTCCTCCGCCTAATAAAAGAAATGGTATGAAATAGGATAACTTACATGAACATAGTATGAAAAGAAACGGGTATATAACCGACTGCCACTGTTTTGTAAAAGAAAGTACTGTGGTTTAAAGGGATAGTTGAGTTCTGTTGCAGAGGGCGCTACACAAAATATTTTTTTGTGAGATAATGAAAAACTGAGTGTCAAATTTGAAAGAACATAATATTTAAATGACAAAATCATCTTTGTTTAATCAAAATCGGTTCAGAGACGGCTGAAATATAACGATTTCTAATACTTGTGTACCGACCACAAATATTAGATATTTTGAAAAATTTGAAAAAAAGGCCGTTAAAAAACGAAATAACGCCTTTTAACGTCGTATTTCAGCCAGTGCCGATGGTGGCTTTTTTGTTGACATATTCGTGTTGCTTTTATTATCCACAATTAGCCGGCTCATGTATTGTTATTTTTAATTAAATAATTAATTAACGGTCATCATGTGTTTTTTTTAAGTGGAGCTGAATTGGTATGATCGTATTGGCTAAATTTCACACATTTTGGGGTCTAAAATTACCTTCATAGCAATTTTAGATTCTAAAAGGGCACTATAAATGTCATAGATAAGAATAAGAGCAATAACCATGCACTTTGAAAGCATTAAATTTTGCGGTCTGAAAACAGAACTCAACTATCCCTTTAACGGTATATTCATGTAGAAGGTATTAAGGGGCTTGCTTATATGCTAATAAATATATGTTTTTAATTATTGTTATTATTTTTGGGGCTTATTTATAGAAGACTTTCTGGACCCAGGTGTATTATCATAAGGGAAGTCTTCAAAGTGAAACGGCTGCTTGCAAAAGGCAGGGGCAACTTTATATTGAATACCGTTCGTTTTTTGTTTTGACTTGATTTGATTTATTTTTCTTGTTTATTTATCTTTTTTGTCTTTTCCCAACTTTACTTTTCAAATTGATTACAACATAATAAACAATTAATATGACTGATACAACAGAGAAATATAATAACCCTAGCATTACAAACGGAGCTATAGAAGGCGTGACGATCTTTAAAAAAATGATTTCAAACTATTTACCGACTATGTACAAAATAGGGATGGAAAAATAGGGACAGTGCCATACAGAAACTATAGCTCATGAGTTTGAATGTTAACATTTTTTTCCTTCTAAATGACCCTCATCTACCCATGTATGTAAATAATTAATCGGCAATTATACGCATAAAAATTACTATACTATATAGAGAAGAAAACTAAGTCCAAGTTTGGGGAGTACTTATAAATGAAACTTTGACTTCGAATGATCATTTACACCACGTAACAATTTGCATTTCTAAAAGTATTGGAATAATCTCCAAGCTACAGTTTCTCCTACCCCCATGCAACCTTATTCCTACTACACAGTTAAAATTTTTGTGAACAAGTTG